CCTTGCATTACTTCTTTCCAACTACATGCACGGTTTGAGCTGTAACAGTGGTGAATATGGTAAGGTAGATCACATGACAGCAATTTTTGTAGTATTCTGTGCAGTAATAAAGGCTATGTCGATTAGCATTGCATTACTTTATTCTTATTAAAATACCCGAGATGTCTAGAAGAACACAGATAAACCATATATTGTCACAATTGTATGTTCATTGTCTTCAAGTTTCATCAATCAAAATGCCTCTATCTGTTTTATTCAGGTACAGGGATAGCAGGATATCTTTGTCCATAGAAGGGATTTCCTGGAATGTCATTATGCCTATATAAGTTTTATGACTTCTATAGGTCTCACTTGTGGACTTTATCCACGAGGGTGCTCTCAAATGCAAAAAAACAGGAAAAGTAATATTTCTCTCATGCAAGTCCACAAGTTTTTCCCAGATAGAGAAGTGTACAGGATTTTATTTTTCTGTCAGTGGATGCATAAGATTTACTGACAAAAGTTAAGAAATTACTGTCACAGATTTTTTTTTTATAATAATGATAATATAACAATATAATATGTATTCTTAAATATTTCTTTTTTTATATTATAGTGAAATAGTGTCATTACAATAGTCATATTTCTTATTTTGTCATAATTATTAATATTGATATATAAAAAACAAAATTTTGGCCAAATTATGCAACCCTACAAACAAGCACAACAAAACTGGTGTTCTTTATCAAATATAGCAGTTCATAGACTTATCATAATCTTATCATAATCTCAGGCAGTTTAGCAAAGATGAATAGGCCAAAATGTACTTTTGGAAAAATAAGTAAAGCTCATTTCAAGTACAGGTAATGTTTAGTTGCATTTATTGCTGCTGTGCAAAGTTTAGTTTTTTTACAAAGGCATTTACTTGTTCACAAAAGTTGACACGAGCCACTGTTAATTGTTTTTGTTTTGTTTTTTTGACTGAAAGAAGAAAATAAAGCATAAAAGTGCTGCACTGTGTCTTAACTTCCCTATAATGCTGCATGTTGTTTGATAATATGCAACTAGTTCTCAGAAAAGGCAATATTAGCGAATATCTTGCATTTAAGATTTAATGTCAAATACTTTTCATGGCACTGTAAACCAGGTCTTAGGAAAATCTTGTTCTCCTCTTTTATCTCCTCAATAGCCCAAATCTATTTGACCAATTAATCCATTTGCATTGCAAGAATGAATGCTTGTCTCTGACCCTTTACTCCAGTTACGTCATAGACTCACTCAACTGTAAGCTTGAAATCGTAAAATTTAATTCAATACTAAACTAAGTTGAAAACACGGGAGAAGTGAAAACATGTTGCCAAGTATGTAAGTGTTTGATGGCAAAACATGTGGTTTAGAGTCTTGTGTAGGGTACGAATGAATGCCTTTTATTGTCATTATACACACATACAATGAAATTACAATAGCTTATATTAACATAATACATATACAACAAAACATTAAAGAGTTGAAATGCACTAAGACTTACATTCAAGGTACAAAGACTTACATTCAAGGCTACTAGCGTAATTCTTACTGGATTATGTGCAATGCAGTTTACGGATTACATTTTTATATAATAGTAGCTATGTCAAATAATGAATGAAAAACATGTTAAAAGGCTGATGCTTACAGTTCATTTCTAACATCTCAAATACAAGACTGAATGCATAATGCATTACAGTGCATTACGTTTACTCAATCTTCTAGCAAACAGTATGTCTTCTGGGTGTTTCTTGCATATAGATTTGCATTCTTTGCACAATATAACTTTAGAAATATTAAGTATGACAATACTAATATGCTATTCCCAATAGCTGCCATGTGTTTTGAGTTTGAGCTCCGTCAAGTTAATTCTTTATCGTCTATTTTTTTATCTTAAAATCAATTTTATACACCATCATTTACGTTTCTATAACGTGTGAATATATCCCCTATCGTATTCTACAACAATAACAATCAGAGCGCCTTGTTATCACTAGTTTTATTTTGATTTCCCAAGTCCGCTATTAGCAGTGCTCGTGTTCTCGATGTTTCTGCGCAGATACCCGCGATCCTGAAGGGCGACGAGAGCACCGGAGCGGTCGTGCTTCACGCGGGGGTTAACGACACCAAGCTGCGGCAGACGGAGACACTGAAGAGGGACTTCAGGAGCCTGATCGAGACGGTGCGCCGCACATCGCCCGCGACGACGATCATCGTGTCAGGACCGCTTCCCACGTATCGACGAGGACATGAAAGGTTCAGTAGACTTTTTGCTTTAAATGAATGGTTATTGTCATGGTGTAAAGAACAGAAACTGCTCTTTGTTAATAATTGGAATCTTTTCTGGGAGCGTCCTAGGCTTTTTCGCGCTGATGGCCTGCACCCCAGCAGAGTCGGAGCGGAACTCATGTCGGACAACATCTCCAGGATGCTACGCACGCACCATATGACTAGTAAGTCAAATCTCAAATAACTGCCTTGATGACTTTTGTTCTACCCGCTTAAATGATAGAAGTACTTGCGCTGTACAATCTATAAAGACTAGTGAGTATAAATAACGAATAGTAACGAAACGAATAGTGAGGTCAAAATATAAATTTAAAGCAGGATCTAGAAAAAATCTGATCGTGATTAAACCAGAAAAATTTTAAATAAATGAACAAAAACAATTTTTAAAGTTTGGGCTCCTAAACATTAGATCACTCTCACCCAAAGCAGTTATTGTAAATGAAATGATCACAGATAATCGTTTTGATGTACTCTGCTTGACGGAAACCTGGCTAAAACCTAATGATTATATTGGTCTAAATGAGTCTACTCCACCAAGCTACTGTTATAAGCATGAACCCCGTCAGACTGGTCGTGGCGGCGGTGTTGCAACAATATATAGTGATATTCTCAATGTTACCAAAACGGTGCCAGTTTTAGCGTTTTGCAATAAAGAAATAAAAATAAAAATAACTAAACTTGATAATTTATGTTACAAATTTAACATAAATGCACATTGTTCTAGAATATAATTGTTATGCTGATAATACAATTTGTAAGGAAAAATGCATTAAATAGCGAGTTATTTCTGGGGAAACTTTTTCAAAGGAAAACACACACACACACACACGTATCTTTGCTGCGCCG